CGACATTCCAGGTTGACGCAACTGATGGCTCCTACGGCATTGTGGTCAACAACATCACGTGGCTGACCAGTGGCGATACATCTTTTAACGGCAATGGGACAAACTTTTCAACGGCCAGTGGGACACTTAAGGTTTATATTTTATGTGTTTCAGTTTAAGCCTAAAATATGAGTATACAGTAAAAATTCAATTTGTTTGCCATCTTCTGCAAGTGCAGATGAGGAGTTTTTTTTTTTTTTTTTTTTTTAATGAACTTTATTAGTAGAAAACAGATCCTGCTTTATATATATATATATTATATATATATATATATATATATATATATATATATATATATATATATATATATATACACACACCTATTGTATGTTCAATTAAGTTAGATTTGATAAATCAGTTATTTGCGCAGCTTCTCCGGCTTAGACTGGAGTTAGAAGGGTAAAGCAAGATTCTGATGCTGTTCCCTCTGACTATAGAGGTTATGGCTGTGAACAAAGCCGTGGCGGTCGCATGCGTGTAAAGAAATGAGCAAGCTGATAAGCTTGCAGGTGAAGCTATCGAAGAGGGTGGAAGTGCCATGGACCGTACTGATATACTGAATGCTCTACGGAAAGTGAGAATTTAGCGAGAACCGAGTGATGAAAGTGATTCTGCTACCATGACCATGCAAGTACAACGAGTTAAAAGGGGTGTGGCTAGACAAAGGCTCTATGCAGGAAGGCAAAGAAGAATAAGAAACTAACACCGAAGAGGAGTCGTCAGCCGCTACACGCTGCGGGAGTTACTGGGGAGGGGATCTGAGCACTTATGCCCTGAATGGTTTGATGTGCATGAATATAATATGTGGACGAAATAACTAACTAACTAACTAACTAACTAACTAACTAACTAACTAACTAACTAACTAACTTACTAACTAATTATCTAAAAAAAACTATCTACATAACTAACTAAATAACTACCTAAAAACTAATAACTGACTGATCGACTTACTTAAAAACCAACTAACTACTAGCTAACGAATAAAACGTGTGTATTACATTTCAAGCACAATGTAACCGTTAGTTTAGAATACCACTGCTTTATACCGGTCTTTTCTTAACTCGTCTTAGCTATAGTGGTGTTAGTTGAGTCTTTCTGGTTGAGCATGTGTTCTTCAATTGTGACAGGTATTCGAGTGTGGTTGTTCAACAATTTGTGATATAATTACCTGATATTGAAGTGCTTCACCCTAATACTGTTAGCAATTTAACCAGTAGAACAATTGCGGGTAGGGCTGAACTGTGGAAAAGGTACCAAAAATACGGCACACAATAGCTGTATGTGTTGGATTAACTCCACAGAATACATGGTACTGTTTTACAAACATAAAAACGACAACATTTAAAAAAAAATACAGTCATTAAACAAAATCCTGTATATACATATTTGTATATATATTATTTCCACAGTTCAGCCCTACCCGCAATTGTTCTCCTGGTTATATATATATATATATATATACATGCATACACATTCTCACTCTCTGTTCTCTCTCTCTCTCTCTTTATCTCTCTCTCCCTCTCTTTCTCTCTGTTTGTCTGTCCGTCTGTCTATCTGTCTCTTCAACTAGATGATTTATACACATCATCAGCTTGCTAGATTATTATCACCCGTTTTTTCCCCAACATTTACATCTCAGATGCTCACCAGCTCAACAAGCAACGGGACAGACGCCTTCGGCCCCTGGTCATCATGGAGTTTCATTTACCAGGCGGGGACGTTTGCTGTCAACACAACGGTTAAGACTTATACTGACCCCAGTTTACCTTTGGCCGTGTTCACGCAGGTCAGTTTCAAAGTATTCATTTGCAAATTATCTATTTAATATTATTTCCAGGCCTCCTACATTTAATAAAATGTAATAAAAATAAAATTTAATAATATGTTCGTCATATGAATTCTAGGGCTCCAATGTGGGGGAAAAAACCACATACAAAAATAAAAAAACCCACGAGCATGTCGTAGAAGTCAACTAATTATTGATGTTCCTTCGAAATAGAGGTTTGTCTGCCTGAGAGGTATGGAACCAACAGTTTTCATGCAAATAAGCCAGGTGTGCAAAACGGACGTAATGCAAAACTCAAGTTACAAAACTAAAGTTCAGTTGTGGACTAACGACAAGAACATTCCATAGGAGCTTTGAGCCGGTGAAAGCAAAGAAGAAGAGGAAGAAGAAGAAAAATAAGAAGAAGAAGAAAAAGAAGAAGAAGAAGAAGAAGAAGAAGAAGAAGAAGAAGAAGAAGAAGAAGAAGAAGAAGAAGAAGAAGAAGAAGAAGAAGAAGAAGAAGAAGAAGAGGAAGAAGAAAAGAAGAAGAAGAAAGAAGAAGAAGAAGAAGAAGAAGAAGAAGAAGAAGAAGAAGAAGAAAGAAGAAGAAGAAGAAGAAGAAGAAGAAGAAGAAGAAGAAGAAGAAGAAGAAGAAGAAGAAGAAGAAGAAGAAGAAGAAGAAGAAGAAGAAGA